GCGTGTCGGACGGATGCAAGAACAATGGATGTGAGAAAGGGATACCTTCGACTGTGCCTTTCTCATCTCCCATCGGATCGGTCGGGTAGGGTTCCGTGGTGCGGTGTGTCAGTGTGTTGGGCCTGAATCGGCAGGGTCCCTTCGTAGCCCTAAACGATCGTGCTCCGTGGCTCTGATGCCATGTTGAACACCGACCTGCTCCAAGAATCCCTAAAACACACGACTGCGGACTGGAAGAGAATTATTTTATTGAATCACAACTGAGAAGGAATTCGCATAGATGGGCCAACAACAGACCCAATATTTATATACAATGCGCAGCTCTATGATCCTAACTAAACGGCTCACAAGAATGGCCACTGATGGGCTTACAGAAACGAAGTACAACCAACAACAAATACAAATAAATTTATTCTAATATTCCAACAATTATGCTCAACCGTACCAATAATTATCAATCTTAAGATGATTGTTGTCAACAAAGGGAAAAGAACACCCAGAGTAATGTTAAAAGCAACCAAAAATTCATTGATCCATTATCAGTAATTATGCACATACTTCTCCAATTGCAGCCAAAGTTTGCTGCTGATCCGGTGTCCGGCTTAGCAAATTGTCCAAGAAAACTGTACAGATCTCCTTACTTGGAAATCACAGTAGGCATTCGTAACTGTAAGATGTGTATTACAAGTAAAAGCACTGAACCAAGATAAACTGTATAGATCTCCTTAGATAGAAGACACATAAAGGCATTTATAGCTCTTGGACACCGATTATGAATAAAAGCACTGAAATAGAAATCTTATCGAGTCGAAGAAGTTTATTTACTTACTGATGATAAGTCTCCACTGGGTTGAAGGGCACCAAGATCAACAAGGCATTGCATAAGCTGCACCATTGCTGCATGTTAGTTCTACATTTTTGCGATAAAAATCTTTACTTTCATCTTTACTAGATGCATGAGTTAGATCTTCTGGGAATAGTTTGAGCAAGAATCTCACTCAAAGAAAGCTAATAGCCAGGAGAATCTCTAAGAAAACAATGAAATTCTGATTATGACTCAAGATACCTTTTACAAATTGACATGCGATTGTTTTAAGCAAGAGAATTCGCCAAACTCCCTAAAGTATGGACCACTAGCAAACTGACTCTGAAAGTGGCATAGCAGACCTCAACATGTTTAATTTAAATAATAAAAATACCTAAAATGAGATACTTGACTAATAACTAACACCTACTACTAGGAGTGTTCAATTTGTCCTGTCCTGGTCGTTCCGTCCCGGTCCCAGTGAGTTCGGGACGGGACAAAAACGGGACGGGACGGGAGGGACGCAGGACGGGGTCGTCCCGTCCCGTCCCATCCCGGAATTTTTTTCTTTTAAAAATTATTTATTAATAATTATTATTAGATTATTCAATTTACTTATTATAATAACTCTTATTTTTATGGTGATTTGTAGCTCTTAAGTTGTAGTAGTATCTTAACAAAATCTCCTTCGTCAATAAAATAATTTATAAAGTCATTATATAGTGTTTTTTTTTACGGTATTTTTACAACTATTATTTTTTACACCTTTTTATGCTATATAATTAAACTTTCTACATAATATTTTTTCTAATGTTTTTATCTTTAAAAGCCCAATAAAAATAAGTATTATAACATAAAAAAATTCATATAAAAAATTATGGTATCTTTTTTTAAAAAAAAGGGTTAAGGTGCGCCCAGCACCCCGAACTATTTACCCAGGTGCGTCTAGTGGCCTAAAGTAATTTTGGGTGCATCCAGTGTCCTAAACTAATTAAAATGGTGTGTCCATATCCCAGGCTAACAGAAATGTTATGTTTAACTGTTACTTTCCTGACTCTGCTTAAAGTTGACCCCAGATATTCTACATGGTAGACACATGGGCACCCGATGTGTATTATTCTTACTCAAAAGTCAATTTATTTAGAAGAAGAGGAAGGAAATAAATTCAATTTTGAGTAAGAATAATACATATCAATGTCCATGTGTCTACCATGTAGAATATCTGGGGTCAACTTTAAGCAGAGTCAGGAAAGTAACAGTTAAACATAACATTTCTGTTAGCCTGGGATATGATGCATCATTTTAATTAGTTTAGGATACTGGATGCACCCAAAATTACTTTAGGCCACTGGATGCACATGGGTAAATAGTTTAGGGTGCTGGACACACCTTAGCCCTTTAAAAAAAAGGGGAAGCGGGACGTCCCGGTCCTGTCCCGGTTTCGTCCTGGACTACGAAGACGGGACGAGACGGCCTGTCCCGGTCCCGTCCCGTCCCATGAACACCCCTACCTACTACCCCTAAACTTAGGTGACATCTAAACTGACCACTAATAAACAAACTATATATTCTGCCAAGAAATAAAGTCTGCTATATTACTGCTTTACAAATGACCTCCTTCTACCATAGGTGATAAGTGGTCTGTTACTAGATATTTATTCCCCCACATTCTATAAAAGGAATCAACAAAAGTTCACAAAGATATAAAATGTTCTATACAAATAAATCGACCCATAGCATCGTGAAAAATGTTAAACATTTCCATTTCTTAATTATCAAGCTCTCTTCAGTTTTGGACCAGCCAAAGAATCATTTCATAAGATACTAGAAGCAGACGGAGGAAGAAATTTATCCTGAATAGGATATCGAAGTATCTATCATTTGACAGTCGACAGTTAGAATGAGATAATATATAAAATTTGAAGTGAACCCTGACAGACAGCAGAAAGCTAGACCTTCTTAGCATCCTTCTCATAGACAGAATAAAAAAGTTCAAGCAGCCTCTCTCGGGTGAATGACCTGATATCCCCCATCATGCCAAAGTCATAATAAATAAGTGCTTCATCCACATCAACAGCAAGATTTCCAGGATGGGATCAGCATGAAAGAATCCGGTTTTAAGCATCTGCAAGAAGCAAAATGTGATATATTTCCACCCAATACATTTTCACTCTTGTTGACAAGGTATAGAGTTGTTTAAATTTTTTTTTTTTTGGGTTTCCGGGGGGGGGGGGGGGAGGACAACAATATCATAAGTGCATTTTTAATTCTCAGCAACAGAAAAGTAATCATATTCAAATCAAATACCTGAATCAAGTATGCTTCAATAGCACGTGATGAGATCTTCATTCGATCACAACCTCTGACGTTAGGGTATCCACCTGATTTATTTTGATACCTAATCCAGAAGTAAAATCATGATAAGATGGTTAAGAAATTAAGTTCAGTAAAACAATGACATGCATTTTTTCAACTTGAAAAGTATTATTAGGATCCATTGGTAAAACCAAAAAGATTAAAAAAAATTACGTTAAAGTGCCAAAGAAGGAATCTAAATCTAAACACACAAAAGTATCATGAAATCTACAAATAACTCGCAAGTCACTTATGTGTCAATAAGTTTTCATACCCATTACTATATACCTCCATTAAAAATTATTAAAAACAAAAACTTAAGCTACAAGCGGCTAGACCTCTAGCGACCAATGGTCAATTTTTAGATGGGGAGGTCTTAATAGGATACAACCCCAAACCATTTGTTTCCTAAATTGGTTGTTAACTATTGACAGTCAACACTAGTTTTTCAATGATGGGGCAATATTGTTACGATTTTAAACTTTCGAGATAAATTTGGACCCAAAATACTTTCGAGTGCTTAGTGCTCTTGAGTGAAAACTTCTAAGACATTTACACCTTAACCCAAATAAAATAATAACTTGGGGTATGTAAATAACAACTTGGGTTTGAATAGAAAACAATTCAATTTTTGTGAATAGAAACTTGAGTCTATAGAAATAGCAACTGAGCTATGTGTCTATAACAACTTGAATTTGCAGATATAACAACTTAGTTTAATGTAATGACCATTTCACTTTAAGTTATTATTTACTTAAACCCAGCAGTTTGTTTACTGATACCAAACAAGGACAGGGCAAGGAGATAGTTTTGAGTTAAGGAGGCCTTATGAATTTTGTGACAATGTAACGTCATTATATTGTATTTGAAGAATTTTAATATAATTTATAAAGAGCCTTGGAAAATGTGAATCTATAACCATGCATTTATAATATGGTAATATTGTTATGAATGTTGGTTTTGGTATGGCTGGTTGGTGTGGCATGAAAAAGAGGAAGAAATTCAAGAAATTATGAATAGGGGATAAAAAGGGTTTAAATTGGACGATCTTGTGATACAGAAAATAATGAGCAAATGAATGAATTGGGACCTAAGATTTTGCAAACTTATAGATCTCATTTTTAGCTTTAAATCAAGTAGGAGATCATCAAATTGGAATTTTTGTGTTAAGAGTTATGGCCTTCCAAAGTTAGGCTAAAATATCAGAAAATTAAAAATTACCAAATGAACAGTGCAACTTTGTGAATTTTCTGACTCTGTTTTGTGATGATATGTAACAATGAGTATTTTTCCCTAAAAAAAGTATTGCAAGGTTCAAATAGAGCTTAGAACCATCTCATTTTGATTTTTCTACAACTAGTTATGAGTTTTCAAAGTTTGCTAAAAATTCAGTGTTGGATGAATAGCAACTTAGGTCTAAATTTTAAATTTGGAATTTTCTTACCTTTAAGGTTTAAATAATGGTTCCAAATGGCTCTATTTATGATTAATGTGAGATAAAAGGAGGTGTAACACTTTTTGGTATCATAGCAAAGGTTCTGGCTTTGTATAGTTCCACTGTATTGATTAATGCATGATTAATTGTTAGTTATTATTTGTGAATTGATTGTATTAGGCTGTGTATTATGGAGTTGATATAAGTGCAGAAAGAAAGAATGGCCTGTTGTGAAGCAAATCTAGGGGCATAGTGAATCAGAAAATATGGGGGGAACCATACCTAGACTGGTACCATTCACTAGTTGAAGACCCTAACAACCCTACTCCACCATTAGGGTACAACCAGCTATTAAGTGAGATAGAGGACATACACTCAGAGGTAAATTCCAACCAGATCATATAGCTCAACAATGATGCTCAAAGTGTCATGAGACCTAGACCAAATCTAGATGAAGCAGGCCCTAGCACAATCAGGGAAGTGCTTATTAGTGTGGTAAGACCTGATCAGATCAAGGCTAAAGACCTGCCAATTATGAAGAGACCCTTATTGGTGAAGAAAGAATCCAGAGGGTATGTGATATTTTTTCTAGAATTCCTGGAATTGAGAAGACATATTGATCAGACACAGAACCAGTACGCCACCATCTATATGGATTACCTCTTTTATGTGAGGTTGTTGCATAATGAGGTAATCGAGGAGAATCCAAATGCAGATGACACCCTCTGGAGCTAGGTATTGCTAGCACTGCAAGAAAAAAACTTTTAACGGTGGTTATTAGTGGTTTTCATGGTAGTTTTGGAGGCAAAGTTGATATAGTCGACGTTGAAAGGTTTACAAAACACTGTGGTTGAGAACTGCCGTGAAAAATTGATTTTCCATGGTTTATGTAAAAGACCGCCGTGGGAAGTTTGATTTCCACAGCGGTTATTAACAAAACCGCCGTGGAAAGTTAACTTTCAATGATGATTTAATTAATAACCGCTGTTATAGTGTCATTTTCCACGGCGGTTTTTTTACATAACTGCCTGTACTGCGTGGAAAAGAGTTTTAATGGTAGTTATTTAAATAACTACCATTAAAATTTAATTTTTTAAAAAAAAACATTTTGCGTGATTTTCTTGTTTACCACCCTGCAGTTTACAGTTCCAAATAAATATAGGCAGTACAGAATACATAGAACAAGACCATATGAACAATTAATTAACTAGCTAATTAATATATACATCAAGCATTGAAATTTCTTTTAACATAGGCACAAAGCAAAAATAGAGAACCAAGAGAACTCAGGGGAACCTAAGACCAAAAAACATGTATAGGAACTAAAAGACCAGTATCTTGAAATAAAGTAACAACTTCTGTCTGTACAATAAAAATAATGAACATGTATAGGAGGAAACCAAGAGAAAATATCTAAAAATGAATTTTTTGAGGAATGACCTAATTATTTGAAAGTTTCAGCATTCTATAACAATATTGTTGACAAAGTGTCCCTCATCAAGTTGATGTCATCCATGGGATATGGCGTAACATTTTGAAATACCTGTTAATAAAAAATAACATAGTGAACTTAATAAAAAATGTGAAATGAATTGAAGAATGTCATGCAATGTAACTTATATTTACCTCTCGTCTAATTTCTTAGTCACCCCTGTTTCAATAATGTCATTCATATAGCGAATAACATAATATCGACATTCAACATGTCCTTGTTGACAAAATGAAATATAAAATTGAATATTAGACATTATTGATTATAAACATGAACTTTAATTCATCTAAAAAAGGTTTAAAAGTATATATTTAGCTCAAAACAACATACTTTTGGGAGAATCCATGTTGGTAGTTGTCTATTTTGTTTAATCGCCACAACATTAAAACTATGAAAAGCCCTATCAACAGTATAAAAGAAAATGATATTAGAGCATGTTTTTATAAACTTCACACGTAATAAAATATATAAAAATAAACTAATGTGTCGATGACATCTCTGGTTTCTTCGGATGGACTTCCACAGAGAAAATCAAACCAGTATAACTTAACCTCTAGAAATGTAGAGGTTAGCTTTAAATTATTTAAAGCTGGAATTTTTATGGGTAAAGGATCAATTTTGGAGAAAATTTAATTAGAAGAGTTATAGACCAAAATAAAATTTGAGAAAATTTGGGAAATCATTTCTCATTTAGAGAAAGCTATTGGTGCAAGGAAATAAGTTTTTTGAGACAGTGAATTTAATAGGATTTGAGAAAAATTCAACCAGTTCTGTGAAATTACACTGTGGACCTTAAGCTTGGTGAGGTCAAATTTTGTTTTCCTATTTTTCTGACTTGAATGGTGCCATTTATACAGATTGATTGAGGACCTACATGGAATAATACAATTTATTTAGGATATAGTTGCAAGAATGGATTTTTTTTTAATAAATATATGGAATTTCACATGTAGATGATTAGGGTGTCCTATGAGGTGGCATTTTGCATTAAATGTGGAGAAAACCTCAATCCCTATATGGTGCCATATCAAGGGAGAATGGAAGAAACTTGTACATCTATATGTGATAAAAAAACAAGGGCTAGCATGGTAACATGTGGCAAGTTAATTCTATGAGTAGACTGCCTACAGAAGCAAGGGGAGTGATTAGTTCTAATTGTTTGTGATTGTTTCCCTAATGCCTCTTTATGTGTGGTTAAGAAGCATGAATCATGGTATGTTGATCTAGCTATCTCTCTCTCTCTTAGATTGATTCCTCCCTATTTTTCTAGGTTCAGGTACACAAACTGAAGAGTAACAGGACGCTACATAAGGTTATTAAGAAGTTAGACAAGGTAAATATAAGTTATATTGTAATTCTTCAATTCTTTTCACAATTTTTTATCCAGTTGACTAATGAATTTGTTATTTTTAGTTTACAAGCATTTCAAGATAGTGTGTCATATGACCCTGAAGAAATCAACTCAATAAGAGATACTTTGTCAATAACATTACTTGAGAACTTTGAAAACATGAATTAGTTAAGTTATTCACATTTTAGTTCATGTTTATTATATATGTTTAGTTGAAATATTAATTAGTTAAGTGTTGATTATTAGGTGTAGTTGATTGAATAAGAATTGAAAACATTAGTTTTGTTTGTGTTAGGTTTGAATTTATGTCTTGAAATGGTTTTGTATTTTTTTGTATGCTTGTTAGAATTGGTCTGTAATCGGCATTCTAGGAAGGTTGCATAGAAAATTGAATCAAAATTTGTATTTGAAAAAAAAAAAAACCTTTCACAGCATGAAAGAGATTTTTAACAATGGTTACACAAAGTAACCACCATTAAAATCAAACTTTCTATAGCAGTAAGTTATAAAACCATTTTGCCCAGTTACTTTTTCATGGCGATTACTTTATAAAACCATCGTAAAAACTAGTTTTTCATGGTTGTTATAAACTGTCGTGAAATTCTTTGTTTATAATGTCAACAAGATTCACTATTTCTTAAAAGCCACTATGAAAAGCGTTTTTAATTGCTGTAAAGGTCTTTTTGTGGTAATGTTACAAGGACTTTATCGAAAATATGCCCAAGATTTTAAACGGGCTTGATCGAAAATACAGTGGATAACACCTGGTCAAAAGAAAAAAGGGTCCCACCATTTAAGATGGACGGACGTTTGGTGGTTAACAAAGCTAGCATTTTAGACCTATTTG